CCTCCAAGCACAAATCTGTGCTTGGCTGTGGTGAGGGCAGAAATAAAGCAAAGGACTAGCAAAACCAAGGCTCTCCTGTCACCAGCCTCAATAAATGACAGGCAGAAGCTGTCCTTGAGAGTGCCTTTATCTCCAGAGGTTGCAGGGAATCAGTGGGATGGAGGGGGAAGGGTGTAAATAGTGCCTGTTTGGTTTCATACTTTCTTTATTCTCTTTATTCTTTGTTTTCCGATGATAAAGGAGCTTTATGTGGATATTGTAGCAAAGGAATTGATGAGTCATAATGTTTGCAACTTCATTTCCCCCTTTGCTCTTTTTATTTTTTTTTTTTCCTGATAGTTGCATCTCCTTCTTCCTTTCTGCCTCGCCCCTCCTCTGCTGGCGCAGCAGGACGTGCTGTGCCTTTAAGAAGTGTGGTTTTTCAGAAGACTAATTCCTGAGCTTTGGCATGTGTTGAGGCATGCCCTAAGTTTTGTGGTGTGGTTTATGAAAAACTAAAGTACATTTGTCTGGGGAGGTTTTTAACTCCTTTCTTCCATAGATACACTTTACCTCTTTGTTCTTTGCTTGCAGAGTGTACACCCTTCAGCATTTCCGTAGGGATTTCTGCTCTCTTCTCCAAAAGAGGAGGGGAAGTAAAGTGAAGTAGCGGGCTTTTTTTTTTTCCCCCAATTAAAATTTATATTTATTGAATTGTTTTTTACATGGCAAATCTCTAGTGAGTAAAGCTGAGATAGCAAATTCTCTTGCTGTTTATATCCTCCCACTGGCACCAACACTGCTGCAGTGTTAACCTGTCATTGCAGTAGCAGAACGGTGTAGCCAAAGACACTTTGACCCGTAGCAGTCACAGCCTTGGCAGCTTTATTATGGATTTCATATGTTGTGAATTTCTTAGTGTTCCCGTTTGTGAACGTTACTTTTTGCTTCCCTTCCCCTCATCATGGTCAAAAAGAAGCTTGTAAGAAGACAGTATGATTGCACTGTAAAATTAAGATAGCATTATGTAAATAAAATGTAGGGGGTTTTTGTTGTTTTTTTTTTTTAGCAAATCTCGTTCTTTTGAAACCGAATATATGCTTGGGGAGGTCTGCCTGCATTTTTTTAGCATTTGCTAGGGACAGCAAGGCAGTCCTTAACCACGGCTCCCAGGGAGAGCTTTGCAGGCATTACAGGCGTACCAGGAGGTAACTACCGTCACCCTTGGTGATAAAAGCCGTGTTTGCTATGAGGTCCTGGATCTGTATGCCAATGTTGTCTTGTAATAACAGCATAAAACCTCTTGGGCTGTCAGCCTGTATTCATGTACCTGTACGTTTTTTTAGGCCTCAAGACAGCAAGTAAGTCCAGGTGAGCAGAATTCCCCTACGTCTCCAGCACTGAGGCGGCTCCGGGACTTACCATGCAGTCACCCGCAGGACGTGGGCCCCACAGATGAAAGAACGGTTTCTAGTAGAGACAGGCCTGTTTTTATGAGGAGAGATGTTGGAGGGGAAGGGAGGGAGAAGGAGCTAGGGCTGGATGTGCCTTCCACGCTGAGGTGGTTGTGTGGCTTTGATTAAATCACTTAACCTTTGAGCTGCAGGTTTCGTGTGAGTGAAACAGCGGTGTTAGCACCATGGATGGCATGCTGGGATTAAGTGAATTAACGTAACAGTGCTTCACGGTCTCAGCTCTGTAAATGTGCTGAGTGCAGCCCTTCTATTTAAGAAGCTCGTAGTGCTCGTTATTGAGCCTACGGGAGGGCCCCCACCAATCCCCCGTCCTCCTCTCCCTCCCAATTAGTCCGGTCAGCGCTCTTATCCCTCTCCATGACCAATAGCGAGCAATCTCTGCCGCTGAGCCTCTCGATCTTGAAGCAGTGCTGTACTGCGACAACTCTCTTCGCAAGTGGCTCCGGAGGAACGGCTGCACCGCGAGCCTTGGCGAGGAGCTCTATCTTCTGCATCACTCTCTGGCCACCCAGGGCCAAGGAGTCCCTGGCTACCCAGTCCCTGCAGCATCCCCTTGGTAGTGTGCTGGAACGGGACGCAGAGGTCCTGGGGTCTCTTGACATCTCTGCCACCTGCTCGCAGGGTGGCCTGGGCAAGTCGCATCACCTTTCTCTTCTTCACTCTTAATGCTGAAGTGCAGATCGTATCTTTTACCTTCATACCCAAGAGCTGCTCAGGCTGAATTAATGAACGCCGTGAAGTCAAGGATGACTGTGGATGCACAGCACAATGTAAATGTGAAGTATTACTCTGTAATTATGAGTGGAGGTAACCCTTGTTGAAAATTATTTATTGTATCATAAATCAACGTTTGATTGGGTGGAATCATAGGAGGGAGGAAGAAGTGCAGAGAAAGCCTGTCCTCAGTTACCTCAATCTGAAATTTTTCAGGAGAGTGGAATGTTGCCTCTCCCACGTGTTTTCTGCATGCGTTGACTTTGAATCTAGTACTGGTTACTGAGATTGATGGAGTGGCATAAAAATAGTCTGACTTCTATAGGTGTGATATTTCAACATATGGATGGAAAGAGGTTTTTTTTTTTTCTTCTCTTGGGATTCAGCATTTTATGAGGAAGCAAAGTACTGCTTTCTGCAGCGTTGTCTGGCAAATCTAAGGTTGACACAGCAGCTCCTTGAGTTCAGTCAGTTATCTAGTTGAGGATTTTAGGAAGAAAAGCAGATGAAACGTTATTATGTAGCTGCTGACATATTGGCATCATCAGGGTACAGTTTATAAAGTCTCCAGTGCTGCTGAGGGATCAAAGAGTTAAAAATTCCAAGAGTTTAATCCAGTATAATAACATTTTGCAAGGTCTTATCAAATTCACAGCAAGTGAGAAGCAGAAAAGCAACTGACCTAGGTGGAAAATGAAATTAGATGGAATTATATTGCCACAGGTTTATCTAACTAGTTGTTTCACTTAACAGGGTAGACGCACATTTATCTGCGCCCTCAGCGGAAGCTCAGACCGAGCTGTGCTCCCCTGCTCTCCAGGCTGTATTATCCACAGAAATGGAGTGCCCTTCATCCGATTTGAACAAAGCAGTGTTCTGCTATGTCTATTTTTGGTCACTGATTTGTATGCTGTAGAAGCCATCTCATTCCTTAGAATACAGCCATATATTGTTGTGTTTGTTTTCCTTTTGCTGTTGTGTACATAGTGGATTGTTGTTCGTTTGTTTGAAGGATTTAAACATCTGGAAGAGGCCGGGGATAGCGATGTCTTTGTACATAGGTTAGATGTGGAGCTGTAGATCCCTTCCAAAGTGAAACGTTTTGTGCCATCTACTGTGATGCTCATTTGTATACTTGAGGGTTTTGGTGTGGGAAGGACAATCGATATAACTCTAATCCAAGCGGCTGGATAAAACTGCTGCTGCTAAAACTAGCACAAGGTAAAAATGGATTTATTTCCCTAGGTGGTTCTGCAGCTGGTTCCCACAGAGGTAATACCAAAAATAAATTTGGAAGTAAATATTTATATGCAATAAGCTTATCTGAGTTTGGCTGAGGAGTGAGAGGAGTCAATTTTTACTAAAATATGTCATTAAATGATGTACATAAGGCAGATGTTGCTGTGAGAAATTCAGTTCTCCTGTAACGTAAGCTTTGCCATGTTATTTAGGCACAAACAAGTCCAGCTGTAGCCTGGATCTAGGCAATAGGTTATCACAAATGAAAAGAATAAGTAGAAAGTGAGGCAAGAAAGAAAGGGTAAGTTCTGCTATATTGCAGCCCCCTTGCAGGGAGTGGAAGGTTACTCTGCAAGGAGCCCTCGTGGCTCTTACCAGACTATTTGCAGACCAGTACCGTAGCAACTGAAGAATAGTTCTTGTGCTCTGTCTCAGTCTATTGTGAACAATTTCTTTTCTGAGAAAGCTGATCGCTCGCTGTTTTGTTACATTACTTCCCAGCAGATGAGCCAGGCACTCCTGAATTTATAACAGAACCGTGAGTGAGTGACAGTGAGCGAAGCACGGGCTGGAGTCTTGTAGCAGCGTATCCTTCAGCTCCAGTGCTGCAGTCAGAGAGAGAAAGAAGATTTTTCCTTTGAAGATAAGACACCTGGGGCTTTTGTAGAAACTAAGTACGCTCCGAGTTGTGCAGCTGTTATCTCAATATAAAAAGAAAAAAAAGGCAGAGAAAGACAAAACGTCTGGCTCTTCTGTGCACCACCAAAATTCCTCAAAATGCTAAAACCCAACTAGTGCTTCTCGTTCTGCAGTTCTGTTGCTTGCAAGTACTTTCCGTCTTGTGGCTTATGTGACACTTTGAGGCGAAGCAGCCTCCCGGGTGAGCCGTGAGGCTGTGCTGTGTGCCTATGGGAGAGAGGGAGCGCGGGAGTGTGCGTATGTATATGTATGAGCGAGGGAGCAGGAGCGCCTGTGTGCAGTGTCGTAACGCGGCGGGGCACAGGCAGTTATGAAACTTTCCAATAAAGTCTCAGTACGTCAGTATAGGTCGCTTGGGGTGTTTTTTTTTCTGTCCGTCGCCCTCCACTTTCATTTCCATTTATGAGTGCAGAGACAGAGAGAGGGAGAGGCTGAGACATGCTAGCAGACCCTCTCAAGCCGCTGGAGGAGCCGAGCAGTTCCCATGACAGGTGTGCCGCGGCGGCGCTGAGCGAGAGTCCCAGGTCCTGGTGCCCGGGGACAGGGGGAGGGAGAGCCCTTGCGCTCGGGCCGGCGGCTGGTTGCAAGGGGCCCCTTCAAAGTGTTGATGCAGCAGCAGCCAGAAGTTCAGCTTTTATTTTTTGAAAGGACTTGGAGAAATTATTAACCACAGTTGATGACGTCAGAGTTGATCTGATTAAAGGTTTGTTTTCTTGCTGGCAGAGGTGTGCTCCGTAGAGACTGGTTCTCTCTTCTTTTTTTTTTAAGTTTCTTTTTTGAACAGCAGACGGAGGGAACTGCTCGCACTGCTGCCGCTGCCGCTCCAGCTGCGCGTGTGTGTGTGTAAACAGGATGGTGTATCTGTAGCTGCCACACGCAAACACACATTTGACCATGAGGACTCTTCGCAGGTTGAAGTTCATGAGTTCGCCCAGCCTCAGTGATCTGGGCAAGAGAGAGCAGGCAGCCTTGGATGAGCGGGGGACCCAGCAGCGACGGGCCTGCTCCAACGCTACCTGGAACAGGTAAGGTCTCGCACGATGCGCCGGCTCCCCTGCAGCCTCTCCGCGCTGCCGCGGCCGCGATTGCCGTGCGGGTAGGCGCTCCGTCAGTTGGCCGGCTCAGGCTGCCGTGCTCCCAGCTCGGCAAGGTTACAGCACGTCGGGCTTCTGCATTAGTGTGCTACACGTACCGGAGCTCGTGTTCAAGTGAAAGGTGGGAGCGTTTTTTTTCCCCTTGCTGTTCACCTTTCTCTGAAGGCTGATGGCAAAGAGCCTTTCCTGCAGATGGCTCAGCCTACTCTTCCTTGTGACAGACAAGGACTTACTTCAAAGGGTCCAGCTACAAATATGTCTTTGTGTCTGTCTAGATACTCTCATTTGAGGTTGATGAGGTTTTTTTTAAATTCATATATACACAGCTATTAAAATACATTATTTTTATGTGCATAACTATCTATGTTGCTGGTTGTTAATATAGATATGACAAAGTCTACTCAATTTACGCACGTTGATACAAATATCTCTGTGTGTATGTGTACGTGCACGCACAAGCACACACACTTTTGACAGGGGAAAATAAGCCCTCATTGTTTTTTTCTTTATTGTGTTTATGCATCTGATTTTTTTCACTGTTTGATAGGAAAAAAACATGCAAACGCTTTGTTGAGAATGTGTCGCTTAGCACGGATATTCAGAAAGCATCTTAATGACCATTTTGGTGACACTCTTAAAGATGAGTCTAAGACTCTGAGTTGTTAGGAATTATATTCTTATGTCCTTTTTGAAAATGAAATGTCATCTCCTGGGTCACATCTTGGAAAGTGTCATTTGTAATGTTTTATAGTTGTATGGCAGTACAGCTGTAGGAAGAAAAATAACAGTGAACTATAGACACGTTTGTTAAAGTTATTGGAGAAAAAAAATTTGTAAAATACCACCTTTTCTGTCCCTCTCACCACTCAATTTGTGGTTTCATGCCTGTATTATGAATTAAAAGTTTAATGCCAGCAGTGCACCAAGCACCGAAACTGTACCGGTCAGAAGGAAGACCAAGTTTCTACTTAAATATCGTGCTGTGTGTATGACTTGGGGTTGCCCTTGAGGCCTGGATGGTGGTGGTAAAGGCTAGATTGGGCCACCTTGACTTGTGCCAGTTGGAGTTTCACTTGGCCTGTAGCACCATGGGAAGCAGCAGGGAGTAAGACACTCCTTGGTGTGAACCAAAATGACGGAATACAGTCCTCAAAGCCTTTTTGTGATGGTGTGCAGGCGGCTTTAGTTGGCAGGGATTAGCATTTCCAGGTCTTGCTTGTGGAGAGGGAGCCGTGGAGGCGGATGCGAATGGAGAGCAGGTCAGGCACCGGGCTTGCTGGGACAGGAAGAGCCCCAGGCTTAGGGGCTGCTGATATTCAAACCAGAGGGTTTTCCTAAGTGAGATGGAGCAAGAGTTTGTTGATTTTAGTTTGGACAGGACAGGTATAGCTCTGGCCAGAAGCGATTGCCTGTCAGTGAGCTAGACTTCTGCGCGTTTCATCCAAATGATGAGACAACTGTCCCATCGCCTGTTCCTGGAAGAGGAGTCCACGAGTCATCCTGTCACCGCTTTGCGTGAACTCGGGCCAAACTGTGCTTTCCTGCCGTGGGTTGCCTTTTCCCTGTACAGGGCTCGCTGGGCCGTCCCTGCCGTTTGGTGGCACGTGCCTCCAAAATGCCTTGGGAGTGCTGGC